GGATGAACGCTAATCCGCCACCATTATCTCGCTCGCGATCTTTACGGAGCACATTGTTGGCGGCGCAACCCAACAGAGTTGAGTTGCAGTGCAATTTCGTTTCTGGGACCGCAGCTATCAATATGCCATGCCGACCCATAAAGACAAATATCTCCTCAATCTTGCTCTGGAGTCCGTTGCATTTCTCGTGGTGAATACAAACGTCAGAATTTTACCATGGGGCTAGGTAACATTTTTACAGCAAACAAATATGTATGCACAATATTGTTTGGCGGCAATAATTTTTGGAGTGGAATTTAGCGGCATCTCTTTACTTCCAACATATAAAAAATCTGCTTTCCAGAAGACATTCGTACAGGTTCTTAAATAAGTCGAGGACATCTCGTTACCTAACCCTTTTTTTCGCAGCAATGAGATGCTGCTGCACAACGAACGCCGACATTTTTCCATTAAATAAATAAATTTAATTTAATTTAGGTCTGGTCAACCCATTTATTACCATTATACTCGCATGAGTACGGAAAAACCATGCAAGTTTTTTTACTAAAGTTTTTTAAATTTTTTATAATTTTAAATTTTTTTCGAAATGAAAGTTGGACTAAGGTGGCGTAGTAACGCATTTCACAATTTGAAGCAGAAAAAAAATTAGTTTTGCTATGGCAATCTGTTTGGTTTTTGTTTTTTAGAGTTTATTTCGAATTTTGCATTGGTGATGAGACTTTGTTTTCCCTAAAAAGTTGTGAGTTGTAAAATCAGTGCAGGAAATAACTACGTACATAAGTATATATATGAATAAGAAATAAAAACAATTTTGGAAAAGCGAAGGTAAGTTGATTTTAAAACAGGTGTACCTGCTTGAGTACAATGGAAAAATATGTATGAAAAAACTTTGTTGGATTAATTTTTACTGGAATGGATTTCGAACCACCACAAACGGCAATAATTTTATAGAAGAAAATACACTAGTCTTTCAAGTGCAATAGACGCCATTGTAAGCAACTAAGGACCATCGTCAATAGATATTGCTATAATACCGCTCAACAACACGGTTGAGGAAGAAACGATGCCAAAATATGTCCCTGGCAATATCGAACTTTTCTGCAGCGATGACGATTACGACATGTGAAGATGGCACACCGTTATCAGAAATTAAATCCGCACTAAGAAATTAAACTTTAGCGATCCCTTGCTGGTCAAAAGATGCGCCCAATATGAACATCACTGTTATTAGTAATTATAAAGCCAATGTTCGAGCAAAAAAATAAATTTGGCGCATAAATCCCCGGTGGAAGTTTTTGACACCATTTCCGACAGAGATGTTGTGGAACTTATAATATATCAAACACGGTCATATGCCCAGCCACACAATGAACATAATTTTATATTTGGGGAGAAGTTATATACATTTATAGGAATATTGTTTTATGGCGGCGGAAATGGACGAAGACACAACGACACCAATTGTTGCCAAAAATATGTCAAGAAACAGATTTTATGTCATCAAAAACTTTATCCATGTAGCAGATAATAGCCAATTATCTATACTATACCGAAGATAAAATGGCTTCGAAACGTGCGTTCACAGCAAGTGTTGCTTATACAGGACCTCATTTTACAAAAAGGATTCAAAACTCTTGAAGATGTATGTACATAGTGCCACCAACGTGTCGTGTTTTAAAAATACACCTACTAGAAAATGAACACACTTCTTCCCATTGTACTCCTTAAAACCTACTTCTAAATTTTTTGAGTGATTGAGTTCGTAAATTTTATGTTATTTGTCTTCCTGTTAATAAATAAAAAGCAAATAAAAACAAGTTTTTAAGGTTGATGGGAATAAATGAGTTAAGGATGCTCACGGTTAGATAAAATATAGCTCCGATATATTCAAGAAATATTTTCGATAATGTGCCACAGTTTTGGAAAGGAAGACCTATGTTCTTATCCAATCACTATTTCGGTGACATTAACGCTACCAGTTCTAATCCTGGTGCAGTGGTCTTACGATTGAAAGGCAATCTCACTTCTAAGTTAACTGAATTAAATATTGCCTATTAAAAAGGAGCATAAATAATTAAAATAGAAATAATGCAAGAAAATTTCTTGCTTCACACAATTTTTTTTTTAGAATCAACCATTCTTCAAAATCTGATGAACACTCGTTTCTCTAAGAAAAAATACATATCGATGTCTGAGTGGAAGATCGACCTATCTCGGCAGTCAGTTCAAAAACGCCGTATCTCAGAAAACTTTTCAAGAACTGCCTACTTCAGAATTGGATTGAAAAACGCCCTATTTCAGAATTTTATTGCAAAACACCCTATCTCAAAATTCGGGTCAAAAACGCCCCATCTCAAATGAAAATACATTGAAAATATGCTGAGATAGGACGTTTTTGAGTAGGTAGCTGAAATAGGGCGTTATTCAACCAAACTGTGAGATACGGTGTTTGAGGAGATAACCGTCTTCATGCGTCGGCATGGTATATTGATAGCTGCGGTCCAAGAGACGAAGTCGCACAGCAATTCAACTTTGTTGAATTGCGCCGGGTACAACGTGCACCGTCGAGATCGCTAGCGAGATAATGGTGGTGGCTTAGCGTTCATCACGCACCACACCGTGCAGTATCGTCTTATCGAAGCAGACATCGACCGCAGGGATACCACCCTAGAATGTCAGGGCATCGCTATCCGGTCAGGCGATGTCGAGCTCGAAATATTTAACATATACATACCCCCTGTCACCTGCTGCCCGGCAGGATATCACCCTGATATAGGTGCGCTCCTCAGAGGTGAAAACCGTATGGTAGTAGGTGACTTTAATGCGCACCACGATCTTTGGCACTCAAGCCTGTCAAACGATCGTAGGGGAACAGAC